GACAGTAGGACAAATAAATGTTAAATGACAGCCATCCACCCTGAGAGGTGTAGACGGGAGAAGTACATGGGGTCATGGGAACTTGTAATTTGGAGACTTCTACCTAAGCAGGGAGGTCCGTGCGTAGCACCAGCGCGTGGTCCCCGAGCCACGTGTCTAACCTGTGCTGCGCTGTGCTGCGCTGACCCGAGGGCTGGCTCCGAGGAAGCAGGCACAGTTCAGGCCGGTGGGCGGGGCAGTCGGCACCTGTTGTCCCGTGTGTGTCTGGGACGCAGCAGGGGCGTTCGGACGCCTGTGCTGTGGCTCGGTGGGCAAGCGGCATTGGACACACCTGTGATGTGATCCCCATCTAATCAGTGTCACCTGGGACCATGAAATCGCCAGTCACCAGTGTCAGCCAGCAGCCTCACCCTCCTGCACTGCCACGGAAAAGCTCAGTTGACGTTGCCACGTGTGGAGGGCGGCTGCAGCCCTCTGCTACTGAGCCCTCTGCTTCTCCCACCACGAGCTGCTTCTGCAAGCGAAGGACGCCTTTGTAAAATTCATGGGGGAGAAAAAGGAGAGAAGCACAAGAATTATTAAGTTTCACCTTCAGGGGGCGTTCACATGACGTCCAACCCCGGGCGGTGCTGTCCTACTTTTTGCTGCGAACTGCTGGGTTGGGCACCTGCCAGCATTCAGGCGGCAGTTACATAACAGAGTCTTTTTTTCCTGGAATTTAGGCCTACTGCTGGTGTGTGACCTTCAGCAGTAATTGCCAATAAATGCAGTGGGCCTGTTTACTGTTAGACACTGGCGACCACAGAGCAAGCAGGCAGGCTCAGCGTGGGGACCCAGGAACTTGTGCAGAACTTGGCGGGGAGGTTCTCTCTCTCTCTCTGTCTCTCTCTCTCTGCTGAGATTAGTCTAAAATGACTAAAGTTGTATAATTTAGTCAAGTCGGAATGCCTTTTTTAAAAACGAATTTCAGATGGACTTGTTCTATAAAATAGAGGTGAAACAAAATAATTTTTACTTCTAACTTTGTTTCTACAAACATGCCATTAGCAAAGGGCCTTGTGTTAGCAGATGTGGCCATCTGACATTGCCCTGCTAATATGCTAGATAAGTTCTATTTTAGCTCCATTTTCTCTCAAGGGTTTCTGTTCTCTTAATGTGGGTTCTCAAAGGCTCATGGAGACAAGGCCCAGCAAACATATTTGCAAGCCCATTCACTGTGTGCTTGTTTGTTTCCCTCCTCTGAGGTTATGAATGGGTGAGGAGGGACTGCAGACTGACGTAGGGGGATTAGAGACGATAAACCCCCCTTGATGTGCTGATAGCTTAATCTACAGGACAGTTCCATTTCTTGAACTGCATTCAACTTCTGGTGACGTGGGCCATGGAGGAGACATCCTATTTCAAAGGAAAATTGTCAAGCCCGGTGGTAATAGAGAGACTCATGTTGAAGGCAGTAGAAAACACAAGGTGGTTACATGCCTGAGCTATGTGCTACCTGTGAGAGGCACACATGGAACCGATGGATGGATGGATGGATGGATGGATGGATGGATGGATGGATGGATGGATGGATATGAGTGGGTGCTGTTGTCATACACCAGAAATAGTAACCCTAGGAAGTCTGCAGGCCTCTGTTCATTTAAGAATGATGAAGGATAATTTTCTTCATTTGCAATAGAAATTCATCTCTTGATAAGTGCATTCTGTATTGAAAGCGAGTGCGTCAGGGTCTTACATGCACATATCGAGTTACTACTCAAGTACCACAGTCATGACTGGTGGCCTCGTCCAGGAAGGACAGTTGGGATTCAGGGACTTGAGATTCATTGTGAATGTCTGTTTCAAAGCCAGTCATTGGAAATCTTTTTTTCTATTAAGTTTCATTTTGCTGACCTCGTCTAAAAGCACTGGGAAGGCTTACGATCAAAGGACACCTGTGAAGAGGCACTAGGGGGAAGGGTTGGTTTCCAAGTTCTAAACCAGGCAGTCATTGCCAATCTCCTGCTATTTTGGGAGGCTCCACCTTGATTCCAGGTGTCAGCACCCTGATCCTGGGACTGAGGTGGGAGAAGACAAGACACGTGAGATTCAGCCTTGCCCGTTTTCTCAAAACATTCTCCCTTACTGTGTAGCCAGAGGATGACTTTCATGGAAAACATTAACTTCTGTTATAGAAATGTGCAGAGAAAATTCATGTACTAAACATTGTCTTTGGCTTTGGGTATTCCATATTATATTTATGTATGTATTAACCTTATTTGAACCTATATATTTGTAGCTTATTAGTATGCTTACATATTTCAAAATTGCGGCTTACTGCCATAAAATAACCTTATTCTCAAAGGAGTATAGAAGAAATCCTCATAGGAAGAAGTGCTACTTAGTAAGGGCTGTTTTTTGTTTGTTTTTTACTGAATTATATGCCAGTTATGTTTTAGCTGTTTTCATGCCTGCAGTCATGTCATGTTCTAGTGGGTTGTATCATTTAGAGAACTTACCTGTTAGATATTATGAAATGAGGTTAATGGAATATACCAAGCATTACATAGCGGTTTAGCTGGAAGGAATCCCAAAGACCATTTGCTGTGGTCTCCTTGAGCTGCAGGTCGGCGGGGAGCCCCGAGTTGGTGGCCAGCTCGGGAGCACGCACACACCCAGTGCCTGCGTGAACCCTGGTCACACGACTCCCGCCCGGTGCCCTTGGGCTTCCTATCCCATCCTGCCAGTGGAGAGCGTTAAAACATGGTCCTTCTGTGTAAATAAATAGTGATTCCTGAAGCTGCACATCATCTGTGGTCTCAAAAGGCTTCATGCAGCATTCAAAGAAGGAAGATAATTCATGTAAATTCAATTGTTTGAAAAGTTGAATGTCTTTAAAAACAAGCCTGCCAGCAGTTTAGGGAGGCGGTCGAGTGTCAGTACCGTCATAAAACATGTCAGAAGCCACATGGCCCTGAGTGGTTGAGAAATAGCTCTGTTTCCTATGACATTCTGAAAGAACCCAAGACGCGTCTTTGGACAAAGAGATCTCATACAAGAGAATGAAAAAGAAAGACTAAGAGAGAGAGACAGACAGACAGACACCAGTTCCAGTTGCATCCGTGGCATTTCCTGTAGCTTTTGTTTTGATTGGCAGGGGACTGAGAAGGGAGCTCTGTGGGTTCCTGCTGTAAGTCCGAGCCTGCACTTCTTTTGTCCTCACCGGGGATGAGCTCAGCGTGAAGGATGCGTCGGTGGGCATAGGGCCAATGCAAACAGAAGCTAATACTTTTTTCCGTCTATGCCTCTCACTGCTCTAAAGCACGTGAGCAGTTGCTTTAATACTGCCTTTTCTTAGGTGTCATTTTCTGCACGAAAGGCAGATAGCACAAATGTTTGCCCAGTTTTTACTCTTTAGCCCAAAGCATACAGAACGTGAGGGTGGCGCTCAAGTACATCCTTGGATCATTATGTTACTTACATCGTCTCCCGGTTTTATTTTTCTTGCTGTACTCCTGTCCTTCCGACCACTCTGTGCCCCCACCCCCACCGGAAGCTGAACTCTTCAGAGGGACATTTTCCCCTGACGCAAGTGGCTGCACGCGTCTCAAAGGCCTCCCGCCCAGAATCAAGGGGGCAGCCCCCCACATAGGCCTCGGTGAAGTAGCTCAACCTACGTGCTTAGCAAGATCCCCTGTATCTTTACTTCATTTTACCTGTTAGGGGATAAAAAAAAAAAAAGGAAAAAAAAGACAGAAACTATTGGGCTCCATAGCGAGTCTTAGATTAAGAGCATTGTTTCCATCTCGGGGATCAGCCCACCACAGCGATGGCAGTGGGCTGGGCTGAGACAGCACCGCCTGCCTCTCAGGGCCTTCCTCGCAGGCTACCAGCACCTGCCTCACCGCACACAGCACACACTCTGGCCTCGGGGGATGGGGGCTGTCGCTGCAGCAGTGAAGGAGGCCAAGGCCACTGAGTCGCAGCCTGAGCCTTGCCCACATTCTGGGCCCCAGACTGCACCTTGGACCAGCCAGCCGTGCCCGGTGCGTGACTCGGGTCCAGGGCGGCGTGGGTGCGGCCTGGTGGCTCCATCTGACGTCAGCTCCCTGCTCCGAGCATGTGCCCTCTGGGTCACAGATTCGTGGCACGGTCTCCACGTGGAGCCGTGGACTTTTCTCCAGCCACGCCTTCTTGTAGCCGCCGCACTCACCCTCACGGTTACCCTAGGGGACATCTTCGTCTGTCATATATGGGTTGGAAATAATGAAATCGAGGAGGCTGGAGGAGGGGGTGTCTTCATGGTCTGGCAGGAGTGGGGCCAGGACGCCCAGTCCATGGCGCTCCTGAGGGAAATGCACGGGTGGGACCCTTTCTCTTCCAGGGACGCTGGAGGGGGAGGCCTCAGAGCCTCTGGTCTCACCCTGAGGCAGGTATAGGGCGCAGGCAAACGGAGCCCGGGGAGGTGCCTGTCTCCAGGGTGGTGGCGCGGGGTGTGTCCCCGAGGCCCCTCGTGCCACCACCGCCCTCTCCCTCCCCGAACCTCTGGGGGTGCGGCGTCTTGCCTTTCCTCTCTCTCTGGATGAACAAAGCACTGATGTGTGGTGGCTCTTCCCTGGGCATCTTTTTAAAAAGATTCCCCCCTTAGTCGTGGTAGACTGTTTCGTTTCTCTCCTGACGTGACATGTCTCTCCCCGCTCTGCCACATTCAGTCCCCTTTAATAGAGAGTCTCGCCCCTCGGCTGCTGAGCCCCCGTCACAGGTGGGCCAGCCAGGTCACCTCACCTTCGACCTTGCCTTCTGTGTGCCGTCCTTGAGTGTTGGTGCCTGGGCTTCTGTGTGGCCTGCGCGGTGCACATGCCAGAACTAACCTGCTTCGTTTCACTCCCAACCAGCCGCCACAAGCTCCGGACCCTGAGAACTCCACAGAGGTGTGTGCTGCTCCCCGATATTTGCGATGCCAGCAAATATGGGTGCTCCTCGGTTGTCCTGAGTGTCTGAGTTGTGGAGCCGTGTCTGTCCCGGTGGGAGGGGCGGGAGGGAGGCCTCTGGCCTGGCCGGGAGCTGACCCGGCTGTCGCTGAGGGGGCTCTGGGGGCAGAAACAAACATCCTAAACATCCTGAGCAGCTGGGGGCTGAACCCATGGCCCCTGCAGGTGGAGGGTGGGGCACGGCCCCCTGAAGGCTCACACACCACTGTCCTCGCAGGCGAGAAGGGTTCAGTTGAGAAATCCTGGAATGTCAAGGCCTTTTTGTTGTCATATGAACTAGACCCTGGGTCCGGTGCCGAGATCACGTGACTGTGAAGTTCTGGGGATGAATGTGTAGTTTCGGTGAAAGCTGCCTGTCGAGTTGTGTTTTCACAGCGCAGCCTGTCCTTGTCACTGGCTACACTTAATAATGAGGGGCTAGAATTCATTCAGGCATCTAGAGCTGTAGAGAAGCTTTTGGGGGAGGCATCTTGTCAAGGATCCAAATTTACTCTCAGAGGCTGTCCTAAGAGCGCAGGGGTGGAAGGCAGAGGAGGGTTCTCTGCAGGTGGAAGAAGTCTGTGGAGGCCTTGGGGACGCAGAAGATGACCGGCTAGCTGAGCGGCCCTGGGCAGCTCCGTAGCGACCAGGCTCTGCCTCTCAGGGCCCTTCAACACTGGCAGCTTTGATCAGAGGGCCGTGCCCTGGTGGTAGGGGGACAGCCACCACCCCGTGTCTGTGTGCTCAGTGGTGTCTCCTTCACGTCCTTGCGCATGTGTGGTGTAGGCATGCTTGTCTCAGCCAGGAGGACCTGCCCCGTTGAGTGTTGCATTATAACCCCTTGGGTTCGTGTAAAAATACATCATCTAGGACTTCCTTTTCATAATCTTTGCAAAAGAGAACGTTGGCCGAAGTCACATGCTCACCCATTTCCCGCAGTGCCCTAGGGTTGGGGGCGAGCTGCGTGTTGACCGCGTCCAGGGTGACGGGGCATTGACATGTAGCTGGGTTTGAAAGCAGGGCAGCCCCGTGCCCCTTCTGTGTGAGTCCCGGCTGTCTGTGAGCACCCGGTGTGTGTCCGTGACTGATGCTGGCGGTGGCAGTGTCCATCGTGTCACTCAAAACGGAATTTCTGCGTGCCCAACAGGAGCAGGAGCCGAGTCCACCCCTGAGGCAACTGGAAGACCATAAAAGGGTACGTACCCTGGGTGCTGGGTGCTTGCTCGGCCACACTGTGACTGAAGACCACTTTTGTTGTTGATACGGTTAAAGTATTCATTGGCTCAGGGCCAGTCACAGCCATTTGTATAAATCAAATGAGCCCACAGTTCCACCTGCGCAAAGCACAATGTCCAGCCAGTCTCCAGACAGGACCCAGGTCAGCCGTTCAGGTGCTGGCTTTCTATGTCGGTGAAGCCTTAAAATTATTTTCTCTGCGAGTAACCCATGATCACTATGGGTAACTTATAATGAAGTATCCATGAGAAAATGGCTCCTAATTACAGCACCTGTCTCTAAAAGCGGTTTACTTTTTTCTTCCGCCCACTTTCTGACACACGCTGTCACACACGCTGTCAGTCATTGGGCCCTTCTCAGCGTACAGCTTGGGTCATGAACTATGACGTCTGAGCGTCTCCTTTGAAAGTCTCTGAAAGTCAGCAACTGCCGAAAGTCCCACAGATTAACAGGTGGCTTGTAATTTTGTCCTTTGGCAGGGAATGAGCAGGTGCATCTGTCTCCGGATAGGTTCCTGGGAAGGAATTCCTAGGCCACAGGCAGATTCTTCCTGAAGGCGCTGCCTGTGTTGCTGAGGCCGTTTTCTAGAAGGCCGTGTATGTCATCGGCAGCATGACCCGCACTGACTGCATGGTACCCATTTTGGGAAGATAACCAGATGTCCTGTATTCTGAGCACCTGTCGTGTGCCAAGTACTGTGCTCAGACTCCTATGTGTGTTAACTCACTGCTGACATTGACCCAGCGACACGGCCTTCATCCCCATTTCACAGATGAGGAAACAGACTCGGGAGATGAGGTACCATCCACAAGGTCACGGGGTTAGAAAATGAGCAGTCATCGCGACGACTGCCTTGGAATTGTCGTCCATGTCCCGGAGGTTTCAGACCTGAGATAAACGGGTAGCCGGGGGGCTGTGGTTCTGCTCACACAGCCAGCCCCTGTCCCATCCACCACGTCCCAAACCCTGTTCATTGTCTGAGGCATTGTGATTTCTCAGGCGATGACCAAAGAGTGGCTCCCAAGAGGCTGGCATTCAGCCCTTCCCCTCGAGCACCCTGCGTGTCCTGCAGGTGGGACCACAGGCACCCAGCGTTCATGCATTTCCCATCCTTGCCTAGCCTGGGTGTCAGAAGCCCTGGTCCCTCACGCCCCACGCTCCCAGGGATGCAGCGCTGACCGCTGCCTGAGCTGTGGGGTTACACGCAGGGACGAGTCTCCCGTGGCCAGGCCCTGCCTGTGTGGTTCGGGGCGAGGTGTTTCGCCTCCCTGTGCCTCCGTCTCTTCTGCTGTGAAATGGGGATGACAACAGAGCTGGAGCAGGACACTGTCACATCGTCACCTCGCAGTGGGGACGAGTCAGTGGTTTGCGAGACAACAGGATAGGAAAAGGAAGGTATTTTTAAACTGAGGCCCTACCTCAGTGCTGACAAAGGTGTGAAAGGCTCAGAAGGCAACGCGTGAAAGGCTCACTGCTCATGTGACAGGATGACCTTGCCCAAAGCCCAGGAGTTTTCAGTGGCTGGAACCTGGGAAGCCAAAGGTCACTTGTTCTCTCCTTTGCTTGTGGAATGTTAACTCCTTGGTGCCTGGTTCAGCCCTCTGCTGTGTTCCCCACACAGTTCTTCAGCCACCAGTCTCACTGATAGAAGCAAGACTCTCCCTGGAACCGAGCTGCAAGGCAGAAGCCTGGTTTCGTGACTCCACGTTAGGGTTTTAACAGGGCACTTTTACTACAAATGAAACTTGCTGCCTTTTCTCAGTCTTAGGTAATAACGTGTGTGGAATTTCTTACCAGAGGCAAGCTGCTGATGTTTGCACGCTGGAGGTGTCAACTGCTGGAAAAAACTAGTATTATTTTTTCACAAGGCTTGCGTGGCCAAACGTTATAGCTGAAGAAGTGACGTCATTTGGGAAGCCATTTTTTTCTTCTCGGCAGTCAGGCGTTTCAGTCTGGCACCCCAGAAACAGCTAGGTGCTGTTGAGTAATTTATATCAAGATGTTTAGGGAGGATTTTCTCGGCAGATTTTAATTTTTCCTAAATTAATTCACTGGTTCAGAAAAACAATTCTCCTTGAACCTGTTTTCGCAGTAGGGATTTGCATAACTTTTAATAATGCTTATCTGTTTTCTTTTTCTGTCCCCTTTACCTAAAATTCTCAGAAATCTCTTTTTTTTTTTTAATCCCACATGCTCCCTGTTTTTTTGTGTGTTTTTTTCTTGCAATTTAAAATTTTTGGAGAGAAAGTGAGGTAAATGTGTGCCAAACCCTTATAATTAAGAGGGGGGAAAAAGAAAAGTTTGTGGGGTGGAATGTGTGTGTGTGTGCGTGTGTGTGTGTGTGTGTGTGTGTGTGTGTGTGTTTTCCATGAGCTCATTTCATAATATTCTCTTATGGGGGAAAAAGTGTACCATTGGCTGCATCTGTTGCTGTGGTAACTGCTAGGGGTTTTCTTTAGAATGAGAGGCAAAATGGTGCTGTGAGATCCCTTTGTAACTTGGGTTTGGCATCCAAACCACATAAGTGTGAAGTTCCTGTTCCTGGTGTCCACGTGTTCCTGGATGGCACACGTCCCTCTCTTTACCTCCTGCTTCCTCGTTTGCAAAATGTCCAGAGTCTCGCCAGTGACCCTGGAAACCACACAGAGCAGAAAGTCTAACCGAGTGGCTCCGGCCCTCAGTGAAACAGTCGTGCCAGGGCTCTGGTGGGGACTTCCCTGAGGAGGGGGTGTGTGTGGACTGGTCACAGTCGCCTGGCCATTTGCCCTGTGACATCCCTCTTCCTGCCGTGATGGCTTCATGGGCCACCTTCTGTGACTTCCGTGTCTCACCCCAGCTAGACACCTCTCAGCGTCCTCCTGGGCCAAAGGGGATCCCCTTAGAGCATTACGGTGGTTTGCTGCCAGCCTCCCACCTCTGGGAGCTCTGCATTTTACTGAAAGGCCATCAACTAGAGCAGGGGTTGGCAAACTGCGTCTCGCGCGCCACGTGCCGCTCTTGGGGTACGTTCTGTCTCAAAAGTTTGCCGACCCCTGGAAAAGCCAATCCTGTCCCTCACAACAGTTTAAAAATTATTCAAGAGCCATAAATATATTTTTACAAATAAGGAAAATTTAAAGTAATATTATAATTGAAACTATGATCGTTTTATTTCCATTTTCCATTTTCCTTCAGAGCCACATGGACGTCCCCAAAGAGCCGCATGTGGCTTGTGAGCCGCAGTTTGCCGACCCCTGACCTAGAGGCGTCACTAGGTTGAAAAGGGGAAATTGCATGAGATTGCGTGTTACGGTCAACGCAGACGTGACCTTTTCTTTCCCCTTTTTCTTTCTTAGTAGGCTTTTAAAATTTGTGTTTCTCTTATGAAGCCATCCTTTCAGATCACCGTGCTCTCGGTGGCGGCTTGGGGGAGTGCTGATGGGCTTGTACTGGGGACACCTGAGCACCAGCAAAGCTTTGTCTTTGTACTGAAATGTGGTTCTCTACGCCATGAAGGAATGTTCTACTAAAGGCAGTTTATTTAAAAAGTACTTGAACACATCACAGCTTCCCCATTGGAAGCACTCTCAGAATGTTGACTTTACAGGTGGTCGAGGTCAGAAACGAGTTTCCTGAGCTGAGAGAAAACCCTCCTTTGCAGAACCACAGTGAGACACATTGGTGGGTGGAATGCAGAGAGGAAAGTTGAGATTTTTTTTTTTTATTCCCTGAACTTGCATTTAAAAATCAGTCCTCCCCCCTCCACTTCTTTCTCTCTTTTTTTTCCCCATACTAATTTGTCCCCAGAGTCTTTGCCCAGCAGCCTGGATTAAAACACAAGTAAACCTGGCAGTGTGGCACTGGGACGTTATATGGGGTGCCCTTAGCCCCCCACCACCCTCAGGGCCCCTCTGCCTCCCATCTTGTTTTGCAAACACCCTGCTTGGGGTCCCCAGACCTATTCCCAGAACTTATTAACGAATCCCTTTAAATTCGACTGACTGGTGTTACAGCTGCAGGTCTCTTCTAAGGACTCCAACATCTCCACGTTAGAGACCTGCAGTAGTTCGACATCTCTCCTCTGCCACTTAGCCTGACAGCTTTGTCCCTGGGAAGGAGTCCGGGAAATCCACATGGCCTTTGGCTTTTAGAAACTTCCAGATTGGGAGCTGGTCTGGAGTCCCGTAGCGTGACTGCAAGTGACAGAGCTGAGAGGACCCCGCTTCTTGGTGCTGCTGTGCCCGTGCCCCAGGGTTAGAGAACAAATCAAAGTTACATGTTCATCCATTTGGAGTCGTGGGAAAGAGTTGCTACAGCCCCTGTCCAGAATTCCTTTGATACCTATATATCTTTAGCTTTTTATTATGGAAATGTTCAAAACTCTACAAAAGATGTCAGAGTTTTGAGAACCCTCATTTGTGATGCAGCTTCGAAACTATCAACTTCGTGCCCCCTCTTCTCTCATTTACACCCCTTCTCACTCCTCACCTCCCATATTTCAAAGCAAATGGTTTCAAGTGTTACTTCTTCCATGATGCTTATTTTTTGATTGACATATCTGATATCGGCCACTAATTTCTATAGCAAAATTTTTCTTCATTTGGCCCATTATTTCTGTATGAAAGGCTTACCTTCAGCTTATTTCGTTATACTCTCTTACTCAGATACCTTAATATTTTCATAGGATCTTGGGAATCAACCCTGTGCTTCAGTAACATTTTTGTATTGTTCTGTGGAAGATGACCTGTAAAATTTTCAATTGGCCCGATTTTTATTGGCTTACCCCAAAGGGACTTTTGTGTTTGTTTCTGTCATTGTTAGTTGTCCTTCAAAATTAACATTCTACCTGTGTCACTGTGTGAGAGAATGCTTCAGATATTTAATATCCTAGATCACTGCTTTTTTTTTCTTATGATCCAGTTTCCTGAGAAAATATTAAAGAGGCGAACTTTAGAGTTTCCAAATGCTTTTATTAATTTGTTTTTTTTTTCACTGAGTGAAACTGAGCCAATTATAACTGAATACCCCTGTGCTTTTTTGAATATTAGTCGCTCAGTTGTGCATTAAATTCAGAACCTGATTTCAATATCCTGTTTGAATTAAGGGTGAGGCGCTCAGGCAAATTTTGGTCAACCGTTACTATGGAAACATCAGACCTTCAGGAAGAAGAGAGAGCCTTACCAGCTTTGGCAATGGCCCGCTGTCTCCAGGAGGACCCAGCAAGCCTGGGGGAGGAGGTAGGCTGTGTGGTGTGTTAACCAGCTGCACGTGTGAACCGGGAGGGCTGCATGTGTCTGCTGAGCAGGTTGAAACGCGAACAGACGCATTTGTGGCACAAGCGTATTTTTTTGCAACCTGTTCTGTCATTGGTTTGCCATCAAACGGATGTCTCAAAACATCTCTCTGCAGTTAGATATTGGCTAAGCCTGCCGCCCCGCCCCTCTTTGCCCTCTGGGTGACTTCTGAGTGACTCAAGGAACTTGATTTTATGGCGTGTTTTCTTGTGGTCATTAGGACTCACGTTGTCCCTGCAGATGAGCACGATATTGGCAGTGAGGATGATGAAGCTGCCGTGTCTTGTATAGTCATCGAGGACCAAGGGCTATCCTAAGCCTTTGGCATGCCTTGTCTCGTTTGCTCCTTCAAGTTACCCATGATGGGGTAGCTACTGTCATTACCCCAGTGTAACAGGAAATGGAAGCTTGTTAGTGAGGGGGCTACAATTCGAACCCGGTGTATCTAATTCTAATGCCCATGCCGAGTGCCTCCCCAAACTCTTATGGGAGTCTGTCCAAAAAATAAAACTCTGTATAGAAATCTTAGAAACAGATCCTTAAAGCGTTCCGAACCATGATAAGCACAATTATAGGCAGAAGTAGCAGAAACACTGACCTGCACTGTGAGTTTTGTTTTTGTTTTAAGAGGACGGGGAGCTCAGTGCTCGAAGCACAAATGTAGATTGCCTGATTTCTTGTCTTGCAGTGATTCCTGGTGGGCTCTGTAGGCAGCACAAAAATACTCGGTGCTGAATAGATTGATCCCAGCAGCTTCTGAGGAGGGGTCTTGGGTTTCTCACTAGATGAAAACTTGAAGCAAGTCTGCTCTGTTTGTGGAACGTGCGAAGCTGCAGTTCTCAGGGCGTCCCCAGAACAGGACCTCAGCTTTTCCTCCACGTTCCCAGTGATTCTCAAGCACAATTTGTTCACACATTTCTTTGCTTTCTGTAGTGAGGTCATTCAACAAATACGCGAGGCCCTGGGGAGGCATCGTGGGGGGCGTGACATGCGTCAGAGGCAGATTCTGCTCGAAGCAGCTGCAGAAAGATGTGCATCCCACCTTGCACTGTACACCTAATGCCATGACGCAGCAGAAAGGAGGTGGTGTTCGAACTGAGCTCTGCAGGGAAGGACAGGGATGGTTTTCCATTTTCGGAAGTTGATGGTTCAGCTCTTGCCAGTAACGGTGCCAGGCAAGTTCTCAAACAGGCACTGTCCACACACACAGAATCCATCCCACTGAGGGCCATAGCCCCCTCTTCTTAGGGGGCTATTCACGGCATCTGGAGGTCACCAAGGTTGGAACTCCGTCTATTCTGCTTACCCACCACCCCCAGCTGTGGCTCTACGCCCAGCACTCAGTAAATACCTGCTGAATGAATGAATGAACAGCCACGGTATCTGCAAGGGTGAGTTTGGGGCTAGGATGGAGTTGTTTGAAAGAGGGCTGAAGTGATCATTACAACCTGTGCTTTCTTAGGGTCATTCATAGAAGGGTTTAAGTTTGGTTTCTCTCTTAAAGCAGTTCTGAGTAACTCCGCCCCAAGTCACTGTATTTTAACCTAGAGGACAGTCTTGGCTTGATGCTTTAGTTGCATGCTGGAAAAGTACTGTTCTTTCCTCATCTCAACAGCCTGCATTCAAATCCCATCTCGGCTACTTATAAGGCGGGGCTCCCTGGACAAGAGACTTCATCTCTGTGCTAATCAGTACCTTCCATGTGGAGTCCTTAAGAAAGTTAAAAGAGAGAATCCCCTCAAGGCATTTAGTGCAATAAGTGTCGTACACAGTGATATGCAGTGAATGTCAGCTGCTGTGGTTGTGGTTAATGAGAACAATGTTCCATCTTCCTAGGGGGAGGTTCCGGGTCCAGCGCCATGAGCAGGGGGGAGATGAGCCTGGCCGAGGTTCAGTGCCACCTCGACAAGGAGGGGGCCTCCAACCTGGTCATCGACCTCATCATGAACGCCTCCAGTGACCGGGTATTCCACGAGAGCATTCTTCTGGCCATCGCCCTTCTGGAAGGAGGCAACACCACCATACAGGTAGGAAGGGGGCATGGTTGCTGGTGCCCAGGCGGTGCCGGGGCTCTTGTATGACACAGCTCATTCTTAGAGCACCCGATTCTGTTGTTCTGGAAAGTGAATTCTGGCGAACCCTTGCTTTGGTCCATCAAGTCATAATTCAGACTTGGTTCCAAAACATGAGTTAACACTTGCAAATTGATGAAACGCGGAGGGTGGGCAAAGAAAATTGACCCAGGATGTGGGTCATAGTAGGTACTCCATAAAAGTCTATTCAGTGACTGATTGAGTGAAGTATGTTTACGGTTTTTATCCACAATCACAGACAATCCCACCACAAGATGACCAGAAAGGCGTGTGTGTGTGTGTGTGCTGATGAGATTTAATTTTTATATCAATAGACACTGTAGCTATTACTGGCTATAAGTTTCTCTGCCTTTCGTCTGAACAGTTCAAGAAAACCAAACCAATATGAACAAATAGGGAAAAGCCAGGCTAGGTTGGTCAAAGATAAGTAGATGATTTTTTGTTAGCTGGGCATGGTATATATTTTGAAACAATAAAAACTAGAATAGTAGTCCTTGAAGCATTTTTAATGAATTTGCATAATATATACATAACATAATTTTCATGTAGAAGTGGCAATTAAAATGATTCCTTTAAATATTTTTCACACTCTCTTCCTCATGCACTCGCCTTCCTAGGCGCTCTGAATAAGGGTTTACTCAGCTGTGTGTACATTTTGATAATTGCTTTATTGATATACCTTACAATTCACCCTTACGTATGTATTTGACTTGACATCATATTCTTGGTCTTGAATTTAAATCCAGAGCCTGGACTAATGAAGCCTTGGTTCTTTGTGCAGATTAGGAAAGGGCGCTTCTCACTGTGGGCAGGTGTGCCCCAGGCCAGGGCACCTGCCTGGGCAAGGGGAACACAGGTTGATTTCAGCCCCACTCCCTCTTCCAGCCAGGCACCCTGCACCTAGCACGACCTGCACACCTGTCTGTGGCTCTGCGGCCCCGTCTCCTCACCCTCCATCCCCAGTCACCTCGACACACACCTGTCAGGTCCATCGTGACGCACTGCACTAAGCTGAGATTTGTCTGGGTTGTCACACGGGCACCTGAATTGTAGCGTGTTGGGACTGGTGTTTGGTTTTGTCCCTTGGGAGTCTGACCGCAAGCGGGGCATGGGTTCTGCGGGCCTTCTCGTCCCTCACTGCCGTCCCCGTGGTGTCTGGTGCCTGTGCTGGGATGGAAGCAGGGCTGAGACACTCCTTGAACCACATGATTCCAGTAACTAGATCAGTGAACTAAGCATTTATTAAGCGCTTTCTGTGTACACAGTTCTCTACTAGGGAGCTACAGTGCAGTGGTTTCCAGACGCTGGAGCCAGCCCGCTTGTGAGAACTTTCTCCAGGCATGGCTAAGGGTGAAAAACAAGGGCAATGTGGTGAGTTTTTCCTTAACCAGATATATCAGCTTGAAGGACTGGAACCCTTTTTATTCTGAGATAGTCGCCACTCCAATTTTTTTTCTTTTTTTCTTTTTTAGCTCCAGTCTTTTCTTTAATGAAATGGTGTTGATAGTGGGTGACAGTTCTGGTTTGATTTTTCCTCAATTGGCCAACTAAGAAGTTGGAAACCCTAAGTTATTCCCTCCCCTCCCCAATTTTTCTTAAAGCTTTGCTAACTTGAGAAATCCCAGAAGCCTGGTCTTCGGGAAGTTGACAATCTAGCAAGGATGCGGGATGCCTTGACACGCACATAGGGAGCTGTCTCAATCATGGGTAGGGCCTTCCGAGAGGCAGGGGCTATCGATACTGTGGCCCCTCTGAAGAAGTAGTGACGGCTGTGCAAGGCGTTGCTGACAGGCTTTTCTGATGAGGTGGCTTTGAAGGAGGGCTGTGGGTCTGGAAGGCGGGACTGGGCACGGAGCTGGGCCGTGGGAGAGGAGGCCCAGAGGCCCAGAGCGGTAGGTGTGCTCGTGAACCCGGAGCAGAGCGGACGGGGGAGGTGGGAGGAGCCCAGGGCATGAGCTGGGCTTTGCACAGTGGCCGGGCAGCCCTCCCAGGGGCCTCGGAGCTGGCCCTGAAGGACTGTAAACCTGCCAGTCAACTGAGGAAGGCGGGGCCCAGAAGGAGACAGTCTGACCCATCGTTAAAAAGTTAATCAGCAGTCATTCAGGGGCGAGCTGCTGAGAGCCGGAACGCCAAACGAATCCATGATGGAACTGGTCGTCACCGGGGGAGGATGCTTGCTGGGAGGGACACAGGGGAGCCTTTTGGGTTACAGGAGATGTCTACATCCTGGTCTAGATGGTGGTTGCCTGGGCGTGTGTGTGTGTTTAAACTCAGTGAGCCACGCAGTTTAAGTAGGTGCGCTTTACTGCACCTAAGTTGTACCCCAATAAAAAATTTTTTTAAATGGGGGAGAAAAAGAGATCCTGAACCCAGTGGGGTACGGGGGTGAGGCACAGGATCTCATGAGTGGAAACTCCAACACCCCCTGCTCCAGGCCAGTGCCCAGATCACTGAAAGGTTGAAAGGTAGTAAATGTTGGGGGTGGCACCTGATGGGCTGCGGGAGCTGAGGTTGGAGGTCCCAGTTGGCTGTCAGAGCTTGAAAGAGTCTCAATGGCCGCAGGAAGACACCGTTAATTAAGGAGTAATGAAGCGTGCTGAGGCTGGCTGGCGAGATGCCGTGTTTTTCACAGTGTACCCTGATGGGGATGGCAAGGCATCCAGAATCTGTTTTTCCTCCAAGTTCTTTATCTTGTAAAGTAATTATGAATATTAGTTTCATGTTTTCACACATTTCTTACTCATATGCTCAGGCTCCAGATGAAATGCCATGGTTGCGCTCCAGCAGTTCAGCCTCTCCGGGAGGCAAGCTGTCTTCTCCCGAGGGAGGCAGTGTGCTCATGAGTGGGTGGGCCTGGGCGTGGGGGCCTGTGCGCTGCCAGGACGCGAGGGCAGGGCACTGAGGGCGGCGCTGAGGACCCGCGCCCGCCTGCCCCCTCCTCCCCTCCTCTCCCCTCCACCCCTTCTGTCATCTCCAGGGTTAGAGAGGAGAAGCTAACCCTAACCTACCACCTCATTAGAGACCTGTGGTTCCAAGAAAATGTATTCCAGCCTCGAGTTGACACATGAGATCCCCTTGGCCCTGAGCTGCTCTTTCTGGAGAAAATGATGTGGAACTCTGGTTGTCTGAGGCCAGTTAAGGACACAGAACCTGAAGCCCCAGGGGAAGTGATTCAAAGTTTCGTCCTGCTCTAGAGAAGCCGGTTCAAAGTGGTCCGTGACCAGCTGGGAAGTTAGTTTGAGTTGGGCTCAGACTGCCCTTGTGGCCGTTAATGATTGCCGGTGCGCTGTGACCCATTAAAGGTGGGGTGGGTTCCAGCTGGAACTCACTGCCTGTTATCACTTCCTGTTCAGTGTGAGGGTGACGTGTTGCAGTCCCAGGAAGGGAAATTGGTCTGTGGTCAGGCGGGCTTCCCCTGGCAGCACCGCCCCCCGGGGTTTGGCACTTGTTTCTCACTGAGAACCAACGAGGAGAATGGGACCGCCTTCCAGCCCCGTTTTGTGTGGGATGAGGGAAGTTAGCCCTGGGTTTCTGTTCCTGTGTCGAGCGAGTGTGAGACCTAAGTGTGGGCTCCCGGGGTCCTTGCAGCTTTGAGTCAGGACTTCGTGACAATTATTAGATATTGTCCCAGGAATTCTTAGAACCCAGTCACGGTGGCTGGCTGGTTCCATTTCTGAAGTCTTCCCTGGCCTGTGAAAATCATTACAGTGATTGGACAAATGATGGTCCGTCCACACAGCAGAATACTACTCAGCAATCAAAAAGGATGAACTCTTGATAAGGGCCATAATCTGGGCATGTCTCAAAGGCGTGATGCTGAGGAAAAGAAGCCAGTCTCAAAAGGTGACACTGGGTGGCTCTGTTTTCATGGCATGCTCAAAAGGACAAGACTGCAGAGAGGGGTAGCGCAAAGGAGTTTTCGCGTGATGACACTGCTGAGTATCATCCTTTTGATGGTAGCCACACAAATCTACACATATGTGACATTTTGTAGAACTATACTCAAAAAAAAGTCAGTTTTACTGTATGATCATTTAAAAATTAACGTAGAAACCATGATGATGATGACAACGGCCAACATTTACGAAGTGCTTCCTGGGCCAGGAACTGGTTTAAGTGCTTTTCATGTGTCCTCTCACTTAATCCCCACAACCTCCCTATGAGGTACATGCCATGATTACCCCTTTCTATGGATGTGGGGACCAAAACACCCAATAGTTCAGGAACTTACCCCAAATCATACAAGCAATAAGTAGCAAAGCCAAGATTTGAACCAAGGCAGTTTGGCTCCCCAAACTCCTCCTTGCCTGAATTGGCTTTCTTCTTCGGGATGATGGTGAAGACCTGAGGACTATGGCAAGTACTCTGTAAAGGAAGATGGCTTTCTCCTTCTCCCACAGTAACTCCTGTCATCTCCACAGACAGAGGTGGAAGTGGGCCAGGGTTCATGGAAGTGGGTTCATGGCTGCCGAGCCCAGTAGACAAGACAGATGTCTTGGACGACTGTGTCCGAAGTCCTCTCACTCAGGCTTTCTCACCTGAGTGTCCCAGCTGTGCTGTGAGGTACGCAGGGCATAGGTTGTCCCCGTCACAGAGACGAGGAAACAGCCCACTGCGGGTGATGACGTACTCAGAGCCCCAGAGCTTCACAAAGCCCTGCTATATTTCCTGTGCCTCTTGAACCCTCCTCCCTTACCCCATTTTAGTTGTCTTATCACTGAGTAACTAACCATCTCAGGACTTAATGGCTTACAGCAATGGCCCTTCTGATGCCTGTCATGTTTCTGTGGGTGTGGGCTCAGCTGTGTGGTTCTTCTGCTCCACTGATCTTGTCTGGGGCTCCGGTCATTGGGCTGCACTGGGCTGGAATGGCCAAGGTGGCCACTTAGATGGCTCTGACTCGAGGTGCTGGTGCTCAGCTGAGAGCTGAGCTG